CCCGGCAGCCGGTAGCCGTAGTGGTGGCTCACTGCGAGGGAGGGCGGGTCACAGCGCTGTGCGTACCGGGGTGCCACTCCAGGCCTCGGGAGGGCAGGTGACAGCGCTGTGCGCCCTGCGGCCTCCTCCTGGCCTCCTCTGGAGGGCGGGTCACAGCGCTGTCCACCCCGGGACCCCACTCCCCTCCTGGCCTCCTCGGCACCTCTGCGCCCCACGCCGTTGGTCCTCCAGTCCTCGGCCTGCAGCTGGGCGGGCTTGGACGCGCGGACCACCAGGTGCTGCATGTCCCTCCACGTCAGGAACGGGCTGGGGGCAGCGCAGGGGGCTGAGCGACAGTGCAGGGGGGCGGGCGAGGCGTGGGGGCGCGCGGTCACCTACTTGGCCTCCAGAGCCAGGGCGATGATGCCGGCCGCCAGCGGGGCCGAGGCAGACGTGCCCGTGTGCTTGTCCGTGCACTGGTGGTGCAGGTCCGTGGTGACCTGGGGGCAGAGGCGAGACCGGGGCCCGTGCACCCTGAGAACACAGTCCTCGCTGGAGAGCACGCAGGACCCATCCCAGGAAGCAGCCGGGACTCAGCCCACGGCACCCAGGACTTGAGATGGCACCATCCATAAGTGGGCCACCGAGCACCTGCTGGGAGACCGGGGCTGACGGGGTGACGGTGAGGCCTCGGTCCCCAGACCTACGCCTGTGTTCTGGGGCCACCAGGGCAGCGTGTGGCTTTGCTGACCTCCAGGGCGCTCTGCTGCCTGCCTGCCCCCGCCACAGGGTCTGGCGTGACCCAGACCTGCCTGGTCAACCCTCTGGAGCCCTTGGTGCGTGGCCTCGGAGACCCTCACACAGACTCTGCGCGTGTCATCAAGGGCACACATACTGGGGGGGCTGGGCTGGTGAGGCAAGCAGCCTGGGAGGGCTTCCTAGAGGCAGGGGCCGGAAGTTCCGGCAAGGGCATGGGGCCTCAGAGGAGGCGCTCGGGGGTGCTGAGAGGTCCCGCTGGGACGGCGGGACTCACGATCTGGGGGTCGGCAGCCACCCCGCTGCTGTAGGTGGTGGTGAGCATGGAGGCACAGGCCTCGCTGTACCAGGGCACGTGGCCCTGCCGGGTGACGCTGCCCACGGACAGCGTGTGGATGCTGTTGGTGTAGCCGTCACAGTTGCAGTTGTCGTAGTGCAAGCCGCCGTTGCCCGACGCCCAGACGAACAGCGTGCCCAGCCCGCCACGGCCCTGTGGCAGAGGGCAGAGTGGGGTGGCCCGGTCGGCCGGCGCAGGGCCGGGGTGGGGGGCAGGCCCCGCGCTCACCTGGGTCACGCCGCGCTGGAAGGCCTCGCGGGTGAGCACGCCCGGGCCGTCCACGGTACGGCCGTCGTCCTCGGGGCCCCACTGGGCCTCCACCACGTCCGTGATGGGGCCGTCCAGCATCCGCACGCCTGCGTGGGCGGCCGCGCCTTCAGGGCCACCCAGCCGGCCGCAGAGCACCGCCCACCCCCAGGAGGGCTCGCCCGGCCCCACCCCGCCTGGGGCCCTGGCCCGGCCAGGTGAGGGGCGCGTGACGGCCCGTTTCCCTAAACTCACGTGTCCGACCTCGGTCATGTCGGGAGGGCATTAAGGGGGTGGCGCTCAGGGACAGCTAACAGCGGAGTGGACGAGAGAGCAGTTCCCACGGGGCCCACTGTGGCTCGAGTCCCGGCCCCAGCAGGACGGGCCCAAGTCCCGGCAGGACAGAGATGGAGGAGGGCAGCTGTGCCCACTGGCATTTAAACCAGTTTTAATTTTTAAAAACTGTGGCACTTGGAGCCTTCGTGGCCTTGAAAGGTGAAGCCTGGGGGTGGCTCAGGCCCATGGCTGCTCTGGTGCGTCTGTCAGGACAGGGATGGAGGCCCGGCACACGCGAGCCCGTCGGCAGCAGTGGAAGGGGCTAGGACGCCTGGCCACCCGTCACCCTCTGCCGCTGCGGGGCCCCTCAGAGGGCCCGGGTACCTCCAATGCGGGCGTTGAAGGCGACCCCGGTGCCGCAGAAGCCATTGTCTGCCACTGCTGCCACCTCCCCAGCACAGCGTGTCCCGTGTCTAGGGCCAGGGCGCGGAGGGGTGTGCGTCACAACCCCGCTCTGGAAGGCCGCTGGGGTCCCCCCCGACGGCATGTGGACCCCAGCTCACCGGTTCTCATCGCTGGGCGTATATCGAGGCTGGGGGTCCGGATCGTAGTCGTTGAAGTCGTAGCTGGCCCGTGGGTCCTAAGGTGGGTGGGGACATGAGGGGCCAGGCGTCCCCGGTGGGCCAGCCTCGGGACCCAGGCAGCCCCACCCCCACGCTCACGTAGTTGGCCCAGAGGTCCGGGTGGTCCTTCTCGATGCCGTCGTCCAAGATGGACACCACGACACCCTGGCCCGACAGGCCCTGGCCCCAGGCCTGCAGGATGTTCAGGTCCGGCTGCACCTCGCTGTTCTGGAGGGGCAGGCGCCGTCAGCGCGGCTCTGGCCGGCAGCCCCCCGCCCGGCCCGGCCAGCCCTCACCATATACCACTGCTTGGAGAACCAGGGGTCCGAGGGCACGGCCAGGGAGCGCTTCCTGCGTCGCCGCACAGTCTGCTGCTCGAACCACTGCACCTGCAGGCGTGGGCAGGGGTGCTGTCCACCGCGGTCTCTCCCTGGGGCCCCGCTCCGGGGGCTGCTCTCTGGGCGTCCACACTCCCGTGGCTCTCGGGCCGCTGGCCAGTTCCTGAGCCTTCCAGCTATATCCCGCCTGGCTCCCTCCCGCACCGCCTCCCACAGTGGCTGGGTTTGGGCACCCCCACCCGTGGCCTCCGGGCCCGCTGGCCAGTTCCTGAGCCTTCCAGCTATATCCCGCCTGGCTCCCTCCCGCACCGCCTCCCACAGTGGCTGCTTTAGGACACCCTGGTAGCC